AATGAATGACCTGTTGTTAACATAATGGAGAGGGGGAATACATTGAAAACTCTGAGAAAAAAGACTTGGACTGGGAAATACTTAAATATTTCTTTCTTACGCAGCATTCAACACGGGTTAAATGAAAGTGCTAAAGTCTCTGAAATATTTAGCATTTGACTGTGTTTCTATTAATATTCTGAATGTCCTCAGCAACTGGCGGAGACCGCAGCAGTGCGTTGTGCTTCTTTCTTTCTATCTGCATTATTCCATCACTCTCTGACTCACCTGTTTCTATTTCAACTATCTTTTAATAATTAACATGATTAACATTTATTATGTCCCTGCTTGCCTGTTAATGTATATGCAGAAGTGAGCGTCAGAGCTCCTCTGATAGTGATTGTTAAAATTAGATGTTTCCTTTAAACTCTTGTGTTGACTTTGGAAACAAGATGAGTTGCGTCATTATATGCACGTATGTTAAACGTAGTTACAGTGCATACTCAAACTGGGTTATGTTGTATCAATCATGCATCAGTTACACTCTGAAAATGATTCATGAAGTGAAAAGTGGCCATAGTTTGCCTGTGCTTCTGCATATATATATTTATTTCTGTATATGTCTTGCTTCTGCAAACATATATTTGTGTATGTGTTTGTTTTTCAGACATGCATTATCAGTTGCCAGATCTTAAACTGTGTTCATCCTCTGTTGAGGGAACACACGAGGCTTCCTTCTCCTGCTTTGCCAAAGATTTTTCTCCAAATAAATTTGAGTTCAAATGGCTGAAAGATGGCAGAAAAATCAACAGCACAGTAGAAGAGATCGTTACACAGTCTGGACAAAGGAAGTTCACCAATGGAACGGTACTGTACAGTGCAGCAAGTTTGCTCACCGTAAAGACCAGTGAATTAATCACTGGAGCAAAATTCACATGCCAGTTCAATGGGAAAGGGGAAAATAACACACAAAGTCAGGTGACTAATGATGTGACCTACAAAGAGTGTTCAACAGGTAAGTAAATTACTGCTTTTTTTTTTATCACGCTAATTTGCAACCAGTTCTATTATTCAGTTATTGTTCCTTATTGTTTCTTCAGGTGGTGATGGGTGTCCCAACTCAGATGTGGAAGTAAAAATCATTGAACCCACAAGTCAGGACATGTTAATTAAGAAAAAAGGATCCCTCATATGTCAGGCCACAGTATCCAGAGGTAAACTTGAGAGGATTGTGTGGGAGGATGTGCATGGAAAAGAACTGGTCTCCATCAATACAACAACTAGCAAAGTATTCAAAGCTGTTCTGGATATCAGCTACGAGGAATGGGTTAAAGGAATCGAACGTATCTGCATTGTGCATAACGATGCCTGGTTTGAGCCACTGAAGAAACCTTACAAAAGGCAGAATGGTAAGAAAAATATCTATCACCCACTAGCATTTTTGCTTTATCTTCTTTTGTTATGGTCACAGACTCTTTGAGATTTGTTTATTTTGTATTATGGATCTAGTGCAGAACATGTAGGACTTTCACTTTAACTGTTCTCTCGTGCTTGCAGGAGAACCTCTGCGTCCTTCCGTGTTTATGTTGCCTCCGCTAGAACATACTAAAAAAGACATGGTGGTCCTGACTTGCTATGTGAAAGACTTCTACCCTCACGATGTTTTCGTTTCTTGGTCTGTTGATGATGAAGAAGCAGGCTCAAGTTTCAGGCCCAATACCACGGCCCCCATCGAAAATGATGGATTGTATTCTGTTTACAGCCAGATAACCCTCAGCCTTGAGCAGTGGCAACAGCCCGATCAGGTGTATAGCTGTGCTGTTTACCACCAAGCTATTGTAAACTCCAATAACGCCATTGTCAGATCTATTGGATACAGAACATTTGCAAATACCAACATGGTCAACCTGAACTTGAACGTCCCTGAAACGTGCAAGGCCGAGTAGATGTCCCTGTGTTTACTGTGTCTGCTGTTGTCTGACGTTTACTGTTTGTGATTTGACATTGTGTTTATGTGTTGTTAATGCAAATTCAAAATAAAAAAAAAACTAAAGAACTCTGTTGATGTTTGTCGCTTGCACGTCATGTCTTTTCCTCCGTTTTATTTTGTTCATCTTATGTGGCGCACTGAGTCAGTGCTTTGTTTTGTCGATTAGGTAGATATCTAAAGCTACAGGCCTAAGATGAAGGACTTAAACAAAAAAGAGGATTATTTACACATAAAATCATACCGTACACAATAGAAAATCCCATTCACTCACTCATTTTTAGCAGATGTAGTACTGACAAAGCTCCTGTAACTCGTCTTTGCATGTCTGTCTTTCATCTACTGGGTCTTGCCATCAGAATAAGTCAGACGCTTCAATAACAATCCAAATTCTGACTCACTTGCCACGTTGTGCAAGCCACTTTAATAAAGGAGTCATTACAAAGCAAGTCAGGATCAAGACGGATCACCAATACAAATGTAATCGTATTAAGGCTTTCAAAATTGTTAAACTTTAAATGACACGCACAGTGTGATCCAGATCCCAGTTTTAGAATACTTGGTCACACTTGGTCTTTCTTTCCTCAAAGCTAAATAAAATACTGATCTATTATTCTTAACTACGTCCAGAAATCCTGGCAGAAATTAACTGCCACTGGAACGGAGCCATTGAGGCAGAGGAAGATAACATGGCAAAAACAGCTCTAACCTTCATCCTTCTGTTCATCATCTCTTTGCTGTTCACTATTGGAAGCACCACTTTCAAGGTAAAACGTCTTTAAAAACGCATTGTGCTCAGATTAACTTCTGCACTAACTATTTTGGTTCCGAATTAAACTAATTACAAGATGACAAAAATGACGGTATAACCTACTATATTATAAAGCTATATAAAACATGGAGGGCCTAAGAAGATCATTTATTTGATTTATTTTGTGAAACCATATAAGACGTTTAGAGGGAACAGTTGGTACAGGACTGAGCTGAGGATATTCAATAGTATCAATAAATCAGAAAATGTCAGTAATTAGCAACGTCTGTGCAGAGAATAGTTTTTAGATTGAAATGTTTTAGCAGTTTCATTAGATGTACGTGGAATTGAATTTGTAGATCATCTGTAGTTTTTTTTAAAAGTCTGCATCATTGTAGGTAAATGAAGAATAATCTTTATTCAATCCCTATTTTTTAATTCCCTATGTGTCCTTATATTAGACTTATAACTGGCAGCAGTAATATTTTCAGTCATTGCCGATGCATGCATTTTTTAAAAATTCATTCAAATAATTCAAATTATAAAGTGTATATGCATGATCAGATTACAAATTACAGAAATCAATGCAGTTACATGGTAACATTATTAAAGAGGCAGATGGATAATTTTTCAAGCAAAGCAACTGGCCCTTTTTTCTAGATTGATATTTATTAATTTATCTCTTTTCAGACAAAAATGAAGTGAGAAGAATGCGGACAGAACTCTGTAAATTAAAAAGTTTCAAAGTCTTTATTAACAACTTTTCATGTATAATCTTTGTTACATGTAAGTAATCAAAAATCTATTCTTCTGTGATTCTAATGCCAAATCTTTAACATCTCTTTTGTGTGAAATATCTGAATGAAGATAATCAATTGTGTAACATTTTTCTCTCTCTTGGATTGCTTCAACCTATTCATGTTACTTGTAGCTACATTTATTACAGAATAAAACCATTGTTTCATTTAACACTTTTTATCTTGTGTTTCATGATGTTCAGTCATCACACAACCAGCACCTGGAATCAACAGCCCGCGTTCAACTCAGTATTGGAAATAGTGAGATTTCACAGTTGGTTACTCTTTGAGGCGGTTTTCTGTAACTGGACTCAAACCTTTGGCAAAGTCATGAGAAGATGTCTCTGTTAACTTATGAAAACGGACATTTGATATTCAAATGCGTTTTCTGTTTCTTTTGCTGTCATAACCGCACCTCACACCTGGTATCTGTGATGCTCTGTTGCTCTTTGGGCTGTTTCACTTCTGTATTTGGTGCTTTTTGGGGGTCTTGGGTGTTACGAAAAGCTTCTGCTCCCTGCTTGCCGTGATCGCTCTGCCGTGTCGAGCTCAACATCTGCACAAACCTACCATCAACCCCATTTTTGCATTACTCTTGAATACTAATGAATGTAAAAGTACAACTCTGCCGTTTAGTCTAAATACAAATATGTTACACTCAGAATAGATATTTGTAAGCTGCTTACATAGCGAACGCCAAAGGTACGTATGACTGAAATTAAACAACTCTTGTGGTTTTTTTTTTTTAATACTTAGAACAATGCATGTAAAAAGATTTATCATCTTTTTTTTTTGTCACAGATCCAAGGATTGTGTCTCCAAGTATCACCTTATACCCTGTATGGGAAGATGAATTTGAAGTCTCACAAGTCCGACTTATCTGCACACTAAGCAGCTACTTTCCTAAAGCTTTGACTGTGATTTGGTACCAGAACAACCAACCTCTGACACATCCTAAGCCCACTGAAAGGATTCTACAGAGTGTGGAGGGAGTAGAGAGAACCTACACTCTAACCACAGAGATTGTTCCAAATATGAGACAGTGGGCAAAAGGCTCAAATTTTACATGCAGTTCCATTCACAGCGACAAAAGATTTGAAAAAACAACAAGTATTTGTCATAGTGAGTATTTACAACCAGTCTCTCATGATCTGAACAATACCACATGTTGACATAATTGAGAAATAATTGAATAGATAATCAATTAATTTATCAATTATTTATTCATTCTGAAGATTCTTAAGGATGTAATACAGCTTGTTTTTTCTGCAGTTCACGGAGAAAACCCTCCCTCACTTGATGTGGTGATTCCCAGTTTCAAAACAGTAACAAAAGCAAGGTCTAATGTACAGGCAACATGCTCCATGTGCAGTGTGTTCGATGTTAAGTTGTCCTGGTTGATGGATGAGAAGTCTCCATCCATTCACACTGTGACGCAGATAAAAAACAAAACGTGTTTGATCAGTACCCTCCAGATTCCACGAGAAACCTGGAAAAAACTCAAGGTTCTAAAATGTAAAGCTCAACATGACTGCTTCTCATCTACCGAGAAAGCAGTAAACGTTGCAGGTGAGACCACGGGAGAACTCAAAGTTCATGGCCACGTCAGACCTGCAGAAATAAACCCTCTTTTGTTCTCTCCTCTTTTTATACAGGACGTCCAACTCCAGCTCCACAGGTGGAAATCAGGAGATCTCTTGAAGAACTGCTGAGGGGAAGCAGCTCTGTCCTCCAGTGTGACATCACACATCTCTCCTCAGAGGACCTCTATGTCACATTTCAAGCCAAAGGAGTTGATATTTCTGAGAAACAGTATGTAGATCTTCCTGAAGACTCAGGCCTTCATTCAGTCAGCAGAAGCTTCTCCGTGCCTAAGCGCTACCGGACCAGTGACTCCAGTTTCACCTGCAAAGTGTACCAAGGCTTCTCCGGAAGGCTCTTTCAGTCTAATTCCATTAGCAATATTTTTGGTGAGAATCTTCCTCCTTTTGCTTCACCAAACCGATCAGTTTTTTTTTGTATTTCATCGATCATCTGATAAACTGCTCAGTTATGACAATGATTGTACCGTTCACTGTATTTTCTCTTCTCTGTATTTAGTGGAGCCCTCAGTGGAACTTCTTTTGGCCCAAAGTGAAGAGTCAGACCATCAGAAACTCCTGTGCTCAGGATGGGGCTTCAACCCTCAAATCAAATGGTTTACTGGATCAGAGGAAATATTGTCATCAACAAACCAAACCAGCATGGATACAAATGGACGTGTGACTGTGACCAGTCAACTGCACGTTCTGAACTCAGAGTGGAAAACAGGGAAGACCTACAGCTGTAAAGTGTCTGACGGCTCTCTGCAGAAGCATTTCACAAAGAACATCAGTGTCTGCTCAGGTAAACTGAAAAATACAGAACCATTTTGTCACTTAAATCTTTAAAGTAGGATCAATGCTCCCACTCTATTCTTTCACGTATTATATATGTATTATATATGTTATCTTCCTTTCTTTCATATAATTTAATTTGGCAATTGAACTCTTCTGTTTCAGTGACTCCTGTATCGTCTCAGATGGTTGGTGTCTTTGTTCTGGGACCACCACTGGAGCAGCTGCAGAACAAAGGACAGGTGACCATCACATGTCTTCTTGTCGGCACCAGTCTTAGTGATTTCTCCATCACTTGGAAAGTAGATGGCAAGAAGTATTCATCCCATAATGCACGTATGGGTCACCTTGTGGCTCATCCTAATGGAACAGAGACTTGCCAAAGCTTCTTAAATGTCTCAGCTGAGGACTGGCATGCATATAAACAAGTGACTTGTGAGGGAAAGCATCAATGTTCCAACCAGGGTTATGTGGACCATGTCAGCAAAAGCAAAGGTATTGTTAGACATAAGTACTTGTGGCTCCTTAAGTTCACAGTCAGAACCATGAACATTATAATAGATTTTTTAAAAGGTGTGTCAAAAAAGAACCTGTCATTTACTGCATTTCTTTTCTTTTCTTTGTTTTTTCCAAGACCTGAATCCACCAACACTGAAGATAGTGCACCCAACAGTTGATGAGCTGTCCATGTCTGAACACCTCATGCTTATTTGTTTAGTTTCTGGATTTTTCCCATCCAGCATCATTGTATATTGGGAAAAGAATGGACAGAAACTCCCACCTTCCCGTTTCATTAATAGTCCTGCATGGAAATACCCAGGGAAAAGCTCCTATTCGATAAGAAGCAGACTGAATGTTTCCAAAACTGGGGACAGAGGATCGACTTATACTTGCGTTGCTAAACATGAATCAACTGTTAATCAAAGTGAAACCAGTATAAGTGATGTGTTTGGTGAGATCAAAAACATTTCATAGCATTCTTCATTTTTGCTTAATACCTTCCCACTGAACAAATTAATGATCTGTGACTATTTTACAGCCCCTGTGACATACAGTGAACCTTCAGCCGTCTTGCTCACGGGCTCTGGTGAACTTGTGTGCCTCGTCTCTGGCTTCAGTCCTGCATCCATCAGCATCACTTGGTTTCGTGAGAAAACACAGTTATGGAACTACAACACCAGCAAACCCCACAGAGGCCCTGATGGAAAGTTCAGCATCTATAGTATCCTTCATCTGTCCCTAGAGGACTTTGTTCCAGGGGTGGCTGTTATGTGCAAAGTGACACATGAAAATACCAGCCTGACCCTGAATATATCTAATCCAGGTACTGCTGATTAGATACTGGATTTGTGTTTTTTTACAGAACTCTTCTCCCTGTGTGGAGACAATACAATAATCGACTAACAAAATGCAATTGTACTTCTTCACAGACACACTGGAGCTCTACCAGTTCAGTGATGATATCATGCATGCAGATGTGAGCCATGACACAGATGTGCAGTCTTGGTACATGGTGTTGATGTTCCTAATTCTTTTCTTTTTCTCCGTCATCTTTTCTCTCATTACCATAATTGTTAAGGTAAGATTCAGATCTCATCATTATTTTTGCTTTCTTGTGTGACTGTAAAAAATCTAGTATTTAGTAGTTATTTTACACTGAAATATAAATCATTCATATAATGACTGATAGAGTCCCTTTTCTTTTTCGTTTCAGACTAAATGATCCATCCTTTTGCTATATTGCTTTTTCCGAGTACGGTCATGGGGGTTGGAGGCTAATTATTTCATGCCATCGGGTGAGAGGGAGAGTACACCCTGGAAGGGTTGCTGGTTCACAGATGAACAACAATACACACTCCTGAGATTTCAGGAACCTTCTTGCTAAGAGGCAACAGTGCAAAACACCACACCACCATGCAGCTCTGTGATACTTTCCAATTTCTATAGTCTTCTTAGAATGTTGCATTGTTGGCATATTTTAATTATGTTAAACTGTAATCAATTGATAATAATCTTTAAACGTGTGTGTGTGCTTTTAGTTGTAAAATTTGAGGGAAACCAGTGCATACTATAGCCATTTCTTTTCAGTTTTACTCCTTTCACATATGTATATGGCATGGCTTGCTGGAATTTGAGTATATGAATAAAAAAAATGTACACAATTCTCATCATTTGGGCATATATGATTACAAAATTCGTCCACTAGATGGAGACAAAGCTTCATCAGTGGTGGTGTTACTGCTTGTGTGAAACAGGATGTAGGAGTTAAAAGGCGCTTGCCGGATCTGAGCTGGGCTTTGGAAGCTATATCAGTGGTGTGGAGACAGATCTTTGTCTGTCCATATGCATATACACAGTCACTTTACAGTTAGTCTGAGTACACTTCCTCTTTGAGTTGGCGGTGTATGAATGTATGGGTCTGCCTCTGTGTATCTTGTGGGTTCATAGGAATTCACATCTGAGAGGGATGAGACTTGGCACACTGCGGCTTACTATTGGCTACCTCTGGAGAGCGATTTCGCTGAGGTTGTGTCCCGATTGGCTGGGGGCCCTGTGGCAGCCGGCCCAAATCTGTGACGCTGTTGCTGGGATGGAGTCACAGTGTGCTGCTGCCAGTTCAAGTGCCAAGGGGCCGGCCAGAGGAAAGCTAGGAAACATTCCCAGCAGGCTGTCTGAGAGAGCACCTCTGTCCGACACTCCCATACACTGCTGTCTTCTCATGCCAAGCTGCCCCCCTTAAGGTCCTGGCTTGACCCATCTCTGAGTGCATCCAAACCGGGGATGAACGGCAGCTAAACATCTTTCTACGGGAAAGAGCTCAAGGAATTTGGTTGTCCTGTCCAAGCATAAAATGTTTTAACTGAAAAGGAAACAGAACAGAACTGAAAGGAGCTTTCATGCCAAGTCAGCTCTTATAGGGGGATAAAGATTTATGTCATGACAAAAACTTAATCTTACAGATAGGAACACATGTAATGAGAAGGGCCAGTTCCTTTTCCAATCTCATTGTGTTATTATTAACACATGATTATCTTTATTGGATATTTGAAACGATAAAATTCAATCTTTATGAAGCTCCTTTTAAAATCTGACTCAATCATCAGTGACAAGTTTGAGGTTTTGCCTTCATTTTATAACTTTAGAACTACATTCTCAAAGAAGGGGAGTCACATATTTGAAATATTTAATTAAATTCAATTCAATTTCATCTATCCATATAGCGCCAAATCACAACAACAGTTATCTCACGGCCTTTTCCAAACAGAGCAGGTCAGACCCTACTAAGAGTTATTTGCAGTTCTATGAAGTGTTCTTCCAAAATCTATGGGAAGATGCACAAAAACGGGGCAGCATGCACTGTATTTGATAAATTGATCAATTAATTTATAAATTCAAAACCATTTCAGAAGACTACACAAGTCAAATTAGCATTGAGATCCTAATATGACTTGAAGCATCACTGCCATCTAGTGGCCTTAACAGAGATGACAGAAGCTGAACTATTGTTTTGCTCTCAAACACATTTCTGGCCTCGAAATCTGAATGTTAAAGAAACAACAACCTTTACTGTGGTTAATTACCAAGAACTTACTATGACCGCCACATAACTTCACGATTTGGATCCAGATTCTTTCCTTCATTATTTCTTCTGATTGCTATGATAACATAATAAAACGAATAAAACACTAAAATAGTAGATACTGTATTTATGCTTACATTCATTTTGTTTAACTTTCCACTTCATGCAGAGCAGATTGAATGTTGAATTTGTGCAGATGCATTCATTTAGCAGATGAAAAAATCTGTATTTTGTCATATTTGAAATATGAAATTGTCATAATCCTGTTCTGACAGTAGTAAACAGTGAAGCACAATATTTTCTTAGAAAATATAGAAATACAGTGTGTCTTCCATAAATATTTTACTGATAGTGGTCCAACATAATGTAAATATTGCATTGAATATAATTTTTCTAGAAGACTGGGTGAAACCCTGTGACTTACTTTAAAACTAAATTATATTTTTTACATGTCATTCATGCTTTGAAAAAAGTAAAATCCTGTACATACAACTCTAGGTATATTATATGTTATCAATATGATGGTGTGCAGAGCAAAAGGGCGGTTTGTTGTTGGAAGGCAGAGCAGTGCTGTGCTGGGATAACAGTGGGGATTTCTGTGTGGTCAGCTTAGGTGGAACCCTTTCCCTCACATTCTCATGCCTTCTGTTTCATGAATGCAAACTGTATTAGAACGCATCCAAAAATAACATGTCCCCAAAACATATTGTCTCTCTCTTCATGTTCAAATGTAATCCAACCTGTCCCGCGCTGTGAGCCTGTGACCGATTTCCACTGTATCAGTTTCCCTGCATGCTCGCCGATCTTATTTCAAAGTGTCCGTGAATTGAGCTGTTTCTGTTAATTCCTGACTAGCATAAAAATAAGGCCAGCTCTGAACAATAGTCACTCACTTTAAATTGCTTTTAGCATTTTAACAGTGGTACTACTTAAAACTGAGTACAGAATCAAGTAAAGCCTCGGTTTATGGTGAGAGCAGCTGACTAACAAGCTACGCATGGGATTTATATGTTTGACATCCTGAACTTCAGTAAGACTTCTGACACCTAACAAAATAAGTTCATGGCTCTCAACGGAGTTATCACTGGAACAAAACTTTTAAACTGAAATGCAACACTTGGTTTTTATGAGCATTTTTGCATTAATCTGCTTAATCGCATCCTGAACAGCTTTAGCCCTTTCTTGTGGTTTGTGGGTTTAGCTTGGCATCATGGGAAGAGACAAAAGGTAACAAAGTACTGAAAGCTAAATCTTATCAAATCCAGCCCTACTGCAGAATGCTCAGAGATATGGGGAAGCCTAGGATACTTCACCATGCACACAAGAGTTGACACTCTCAGGTGCTTGTTGTGTAGTATGTAAAGGTGGACATTGGGGTTTAGTTGACTGTTTTTCTTTTTAATAAAAAGCAAAGAGGTGCTTCAATGTATAATCTTCCATAAGACTATACTAAACAATGTACGTGGTAGTTTGAAAAAAATCCACTAAATGATAATGCAAAGATCATAGTTGCTCTGTCCTGGCACCAAAGCACTCTGTGTGGAGAATGTTTTTTAAACCCTTTGAAATGTTCCTGTCTACTCAAATGTAAAATATGATCAATTATTTTTGTCTCTATACTGAAAGCAGGTTTTTCAGGGTGTTAAATTGATTGACTGGGATTTCTATGTGTTCACCTGTTCATCTATTCTCAGATCCATCTTAGATCTGTTAGTGGTCCTTTCCTGTGCTTTTTTATTAAAATTAAATTGGGCTTTTTCTGTGAAAGGCCCAAGGCAATCTGTTGGCCTGTGTGGCCTGATTACCATACAGAGATGATAGTATGTTATTTTTCTCAGAACACATACAGGCTCTTCAGTGGGCCAAATAAATCTACTTGAATGTCACATAGTTCTCTGCTCACACTGTTCTGTTTAAATATGTGAACAAAAACATTGATACAGCAAATCTGCTTTTTAGAGGCCATAGCAGTGCTAATTGAAAAAAACGTAATATTCAAAAGAGATTATTGTTTTTAATTCAATGTCCCATACAACCAAAGCAGCTGTTTATTTTTGCCCCCCTTAAATCAAGAATTATGTTTTTCTGCAGATGTTTATGTGTCAGTGTGTACTGATGTCGAATCATTAAATGCACGTTGATAAGAAATACTTTTTTGTTTTAAATTTCAGCCTGCCAAGAGCCCTTTTGATCATGTTACGCACGAGGTGACAAGACACGGGGTGCCTGCTGCACTTTTGCTGGGGCCCCAAATGTTTACAACCGGCCAAGGCAGAGGTTCGTGCCACTCTTCAAGTCCAATCCCAAACAACTCTCTCTCTCTCGCGGCCTACTTTTCCCACCTCCACCGCGCGGAGAGTGAAAGGGACGCGCTGCGGCCGCAGCCCGCCGCCGTACCAATGCGCAGGCAGCACCTCCGCGGGATAGGTCTCCCCAAATCGAGGCTGCGCTCGGGGCGATCCTGCGCCTGAATGAGGGGCGCGTCATGCCTGTCCTCCTCCTCCTCCGCTCTGCGCGATCAGTGGCTCTGCGCTCCGCAATCCCCTGGCACGCCGGACCGCCCTCGACGGCTCTGCTATCGCCGTCCCGCTCACACTGAATGGCTGCCTGGAGCGAGGAAAACCGGGGGCAGAGAGCGCTGCGTCTCCTCCTCTGAACCAAGGCTCCGCATCAGCTTCCCCCGCGAGGCGGTGAGTGTCTTGT